AAATGAAGTCTTATGTTAGTATATTGAAGGGGGCTGGAGGGGGGGGCAGGATTCTTTGTAAAACCCCAGAAGAAGCCGCTGGACCCGGGGGGCAGCGGGCTGCGGGAGGAAAGGCCGGGGGCGGGGAGCAGCAATCCCAGCCCAGGGCAGAGGTGAGCCCGCACACGCCCCAGCAGGATGCCCGCACAGATGCATTGATCATAGGAGGCGAAGGGGGGGGGGGGAGGAGGGTAAACAGCGGTCCCAGCTGCGGGCAGGTGTGCAGGGGTCACGTTACAAATGTTCCGGCGCGGCTGCATGCATAATAGATGGCGCAGAGGCGGGCGTGAGGAGCCCGGGGCAGCTGTGCAGAGCGGACCTTTGCCCGGCTCCAGCAGAAGGAGGCTGCCTGGATCCCAGCCCGGGGAAGCAGGGAGGGGATCGCGAAAGGAGGCGCGCAGAGGCTGCTGATCACAAGGGCAGGGGACCGAGCTGCTCCAAATCCTCGTGCCAGGGCTAGCCCGGCTTCTGCCCAGCCGCTGCCTGGGACCACCTCCCCGGAGCACTGGGAGGGCTGGACAGGACATCAGGCTCCTGCTTGTCGATACAGCTGTTGGCATCCGTCTCTCCCGCTCTCAGGAGAGCCCAGCCTCTGGCACCGCAGCTGTTGCCTTTAGCTCTCTTCCCAGTGGGGTCTGTAGGAAACTCAGGATTTTTAACCGATGAGTTTGCCTGTGAAAACAGCTCAGGTTGGCTGGCCAGAGAGGCTCTCCCGTGCCATGAGGGAGTGATGAGCTGCTTAAAGGCATTCCAGCCATCTTATACTGGATTTCCACTCACCCTGCTACAGTGTTGGAGGGGGCTGGTTCTCATTAAGGGGATTACAAAAGATGGGGGGATGTATCCGTCCACACAGTCAGCCTTTGAATTAATCCTTCATTGCAAAAAATCCCAGTTTTGCAAAAACTTTTTTTTGCAAACAATTCCATATTTTGTATGGGGACTGCAAAAGATACGGGGATGTATTCCTCGACACCATCAGCCTTTGAATACATCCTTTATTGCAAAACATTTCTACAATTTAGGGAGTTGGGGCAGAGCACCTGTGACCAGAGGATCGTATTTAGGGCCACTTAATATATAATACTGATCCTTAGGCAATATATTAGTTCTACAATAAGGCCAAAGATAAAACTCGACGAGCACAAGAATGCATTTTGCACGCTTCAAGTCATGCTAGAAATAAAGGCACAAAACCTGCAGGAGCTCTTCAGGACCCTGGTTTTAGGGTCACGTCAGCCCGTGATGCCACCAGTCGTCACAAGCGAGGGCTATTACTGAGCCCTGGTTAAACTTTTGTTCAGTGTTTGCCCTGTTTCCAGATCCCTAGAAAGCATTATAACCACTCCTCTTCTTTAAGCCTTGTTTTTAACTCCCAGGTAAAAAAAATCACATGATATCACGTTATATGGAGAAACAAGTCCACCCTGCCTATTGGGATAGCCTGGTTGTGCTTGCATATGCCACGGAAAACCCACAGCAAGCATTCCCGCGCTCCATTCAGATGGGTGGTGATCTTCAATTTGGTTGTTGCCCCTCTTTGGGGCGTCCCTAAGTCATTTTGACTGTCGCCCAGATCCAAAACGCAGCTGTTGCTTGGAACATGCTGCAGCATTCAAACTCGGGGGGGGTCTTAACTAAAAGTCGTATCTCCCTGTAAAAGTTAGTCCACGTGGATTACCATAGGTTGACTCAGAAGAGCCTTAGACAGAATATTGATTTCCACAACGCAGGATCACAGAAACAACCTGACAGCACTGTCACTTATAACCCCCTCAGAAATGAAGCACTTGCTAATTCTTTTCACCTCTTTTGAACCCTGCCATCAGGTTGTCAAAGAGTCGGGGATTGCAACGGTAACTGCAACTGTGTTGATGTATTTCTAGGCACGGTTTAACTCTCACTAGGCACTCTCTTCAGGGTAGATGGGCTTAACTGCTGATTTTGAACATGTAGGTTGTGGGGGGGGGGGGGGTTCTGGCACAGCAGTGCAAGAAATTTCTTCGCTGAAGTCTTCTATGTGCAACAAAATTATGGTCCATGAAAACTGTCTTGTGGATAAAATACTAGACTCTGTTTCTGGCTCTGACAGATCCATGCCTCAGTTTGTTATCTATAAAATGAAACCCCCCCCCCACTTCTTTCTCTCAGGATGGTGCTGAGAGGATGAATTCAGTCATGTATGGAGTCTCTTGGGACTGGGACATGTCAGAAGCACTGGAAGGGATGCACAGGATGTCCAGCACCAAGTTTTCACCTGTTCTCAAGACAGCCACAGTATTTGGGGCTGCATGTTTAGATGCCATGCTTGCATTTCAGCTATGTCTCCTTAGCCGGCTTTTTCAGTCATCCCTGAAGTGTTCATTTGGGTGCTACTGCCTCCCTTCCTATCCTTATGTTTTAGTATTGGTGCTGCCTTCCTGTTCTGTTTCTGGAATAAAAGGGTTGCTCAAGTCAGTAACAGGTTGGGAGGATCAGGCAGCAAACAGAAGCAGATTTCCCTCCCCAAAAGTCTATGAGCAATTTGTTAGGAGTGATTTATTGTTGCAAGTATGTGCAGTCACTAAGCCAGTTCCCTGCTATCTCAGTGGACAGGAAGAAATGTCACAATTCAGAATTTAAGCATATGCTTAAATCCAGTCCTATGCATTATGCACATGCTAAAGCCCCACCGATATCAGCTAGGCTTTAAGGTGTGCTTAATTTTTGGTATGTACTCCAGCACTTTGTGGAATGGGGAGGGCAAAGGCTAAATAAAGATTTGAGTGGATGGATAGTGCTTTTCTTATTTGTTAAAATCTGGGGATATGTGTGCTTCAGCTGCAACGCAACATGTTATAATGAAAGTCCTGCCTTTCGGTAAAATAATATAGCTCCTTATAAAATGAAAGAAAAAGTTAGACAGTGGATGCTGGTTGCTTCTAAGTGGCCAAGTTTCCCCAACTTGACTGCTAAAGATTTTGCACTCCTTTCAGTGCATCGTCACCATTGAACTGTTTTTTCCTTCCATTCCCAACCCTTATACTGAATCTCAATGGCTTAAGGAGAAAAATGGTTATTCATCATTACACAGATTTATGATGGCACAAAGGAGAATTGAGAACTGCCCTTCCTTGAAACCGCTGTTGCAGTAGTAAAAATCGAACCTAGAAAACACACATTATCTCTTGTCCAGAAAAAAACATTCACGGCCAAATTCTGCTGTTATTTACCCTGCTGCAATCGTACTGACCTGTCCTTTCTCAAGCCTGGTTTGAAGTCATTTGAGCCATCTTGGCTGCTCACATAACTGGTTAAACTCCTTTGAGGCTTGGGTCAATACAACTGAATGGATGTAAAGATGGGCCTAATCCAGAAATCCACTGAGATCAATGAGACCCACATTAGTGGGTTTTGGATCAGGCCCTAGATACAGAATTTGGCACGATAAATTTGATTCAAAAGAAAATAGATCAACGCAGTGTAACATATTTAGTTTAAAAGGAGGGAGTGCTATGAGAAGCAGATAACTCTCTTGTGTACTACAGTTTAGTTTTAAGTTGAAAATTGACAAAAATGTTGGCCGCAGCATCAATATTTTATTGAATAAGGTTCCATTCAAAGCACCTGCTATAACTCACTAAAATGGAGGTTTTAGTTACATGCCACATGTATTTGATTTCTTTCCATATTTGTTTGATTGCCCACACTTCCCAAACGTCAGGAAGCACACAAAAGACCTGATGCTGCCAATTTTTTAATTCTGTTGAAGTCAATGAAACAGCTCTTGTGCCTAGCATTAGGTATGAGGGCGAGATATTTTTAGGATAGGTCTCTTAGACATAGTTATACATTTTTAACTAGCAGGCTTTCCCCATCTATACACAGCAGCTGAGAATTTCTAACTCTCTTTTGGCTACATCTACAATTAAAGGTTTTCCTGCTTCTGCTATGTCAGCACCGAAAAGTGGAAAAACCCATTTAGGGCTTAACCGTATTTATACCGGTGTAGCTTGTTCAGATTTGACAGTGCAAAAGTAAGTGAGGTTGGTACCAATTACCTTATACCAGTGTAAATGCACTAGGGTTTTTACTGTAACTATGTTGATTTAAACAAACAAAAAAATTACACATCTTTTTCTGACACAAAAGCTTTAAAGGCATGCTAGGTGTGACAACTTGGTGTCTTTCTGCAAGTTATGAATGCTGGTTGAGATTATGACATCGCTGTGTCACTGAGGCCTTCACTGCATATCAAATCTGCCATAAGCTGTTAGGGCCATGTCAGGTGTCTCCTACCGCAGGGAAAATGGAGGATTGGAAAACTTTATTGGTTGCTGTTCATGTGAGAGCACCTTTGACTTCTAGAACAGCGAGGTCCTCAAGTGTCAGATGGTGGGTGGCCTGCAAACTTGGGGCCTCAGCCTGGTCAACGTATCTGCTCATCCCAGCCTGCCAACCTACAGCTGGTTGTCTAGATTGATCCAGGATGTCCTGAAGCCTCCAGCAGGGCCTGACCTGCCACCCATCCTATAAATCCCTGCACAGGAACAGGAAATGTCTGAGTGCAACTGGGCTCAGTCTCATTCCAAGCTGTGCTGTGGTTCCC